TTAATTATGACTCCAATCCAACATGTTTTTATTGGCATTCACTACTTCGGCCATTCGTTCAATCAAATGTCAGTCTGGTAGACAGCCTGCTCCCTAGGTAAGCTTCAGTGCACGGCGACCAACAGGATTTGACCTCATTCAGCGTCCGGCTCACACACCCCATCGCCACAACCTCCTGGGTGTCAGCCTTGAAACCAATTTGACCACAACACGCTGTGGTCAAATTAGCACCCTACTTAACTCGAAAGAGTGGTTTTTCACGATCTAGCAGTTACACTCTAATTGTGGATTTAATTGTGGCGGTAATGCTGCCTGTGCTCCATGCTAAGGAAAATACCTCGTTGATGGGGCTTCGGATGTTGCGTTTCTATCGTTAGTATTTGCAACCTTCCAGTACCTGACTGATTTAGTGCACCTGACTTCTACTAAAGTGTCGTTCTTTGAGATGTAAAAAACGGTTTTGTTTATTGCCATGTTCCGCTCGTACAATTAGCTAGCGAACGTAACTTGTTGCTCATTTTTTAAGAAATGAAATGCCTGATTTATCATTCAGCTGATCGCATTTCTGGTCATTTTACTGACTGTCGAAACATCACCACACGTCTGAACTGCATCCCCTGCTGCGACATGCATTCACTTATTACTGGCCTCACTTAAGTAGGTCGAGTTCTGGCAACTGTCATCTTATTATATGATTATATATTATAGGCACATCAACTTTTAAACAAGGTAAGGTGTATTGACAAAAAAACAGTGCAGATTTCTGCAGTTGTACATGCATTTGTGAGGAGAGTTTGATTAAATTGAGCAGGGATTGTACAAAGGTGCCTGTAAATATTTCTCACGATTCAGAATTGTCCTTCTTGAGTTCACTTCTGTACAATCCGCGCATCGACGATTCCTTTTTGTGGTACTTTGAAATCCTACACTGGGTTGTGTCCTTCAGCGCCTCATCCAGTCGCATGCGAACGCTTCGGTATGTCGAAAGTAAACTTTCTGTCTACTGAAAATGCTAATAAGTAGCATGAGTTTGAGTAGAGCAAGAGAATACGTCCGTCTCGATAGTTCACTACTTCTTTGGTGCAACACTGACTAGCAAGACTGTAACAAAAATGTGATTTGCATAAGCCCAGTAAAATTACTCAAGTGATGGTGCTTGCGTTATGCAAAGCAGAAGAATTCAACTCTAATGAGGTGCAACGTGTTATCAATCCAAAGCAGCAAAACTAAGCTCATTTTTACTTCCAATATCGGTGTATTGTTGGGTTCTCTACTGTCGTTGGCTTCAACATCACCAGAAATGACACCTTTAATTTTTGGACATTTGCATTAGCAGGATTTTATCTAACACGGGTGTCTGTTTTGCATTAGCCTTCGTGTTTGTGCACCCCGCCTTCTGTAGTCCCATTCCCCTCTTTCCCTGCGTTGGTCCTTTCAACTATTTCTTTTACCTACACTTAAGGTCGCTCTCATCGCGTTTAAGTAGGTGCGTGTAACCGTGCCATCTTTCATAGATTGGGTGAGTAAAAAAGTCCTTTCACGAGTCGGTGTGCTAATGTAGGGTTACACATACGAAGAATTATGACATCGCTCATGTTGACGTTGGTGTGAACAAACTCGAATGATAATGAAAAAAAGTGGAAACAGTTAACAGGGCAAAAAGATAGATTTGGGGAAAAAGACTCCCAAAAATTTACTATGCACAAAATACTGTCGCACTGTTACATGTTGGTGCAGCCACCTTTTAGATTTTTGGTTTCTTACCTTTTTGAGGATCCAGAGCAAGTTCACCTTTCAAGTGGTTTAAGCAGGCACGTCAACAATCTGGAAATCCAACCAGAAGCTTAAAATCACATTCGTGAGGTTGATTTTATAACTGAATTCACACCAAATCGTGCACCATTTTTGATCACGCAATGCTAATTCTGCCTAATCCGACATGTGTGGTTGCGAGTCAAACATAACCGACTGTGCATTTGGCCGCCGTTTCGCCAAGTACAGCTCAAATTATGGCAAACTGACTATGTGCGGACTTTAAACGTCATTTCCATGGGTCTGTAAAAAACCTGATTCCAAAATTCGTTGACATTCGTAATGGATTGAATTGATAGGCGGAGGATGACTCGGCTGATAAGGGAAGACATTACGCCGGGTAAAGTGTTGAAAGACGATTTTGCGCAGGAGACGTAGGTGCACCAGTAGAGGAACAACGACGCCTGGACACCACTGCAAGTCAAAAACAACTACATAAACAGAACGACTTGTTACAGCCGTGTCTGCTGTGGAGATTCTGGCTTTGCAAATATCTATTGCTGCATCAAAGTTAACATATCATGTTTTACCTTACCTATTTGTCATGACCATGTGGTTGAATAATGCTGGTCAAATTCTAAGTACGATGGGTTGACTACTACAGAATTTCATTCAAATAGAAGTTGCTTTTTAGGACAACAAGTGCTGCATTTCGTCTGGTACATTCTCCAACTGTCGGCCTTGCGACACGCCCAATACGAAGCTCCTATTAAAAACTCCTACATGGTGCAGACATCTAACGCATGCCGCAAGGTGCAATGCGTCTGCGTGCACTCTTCCACACAGTCAAAATCGATTATGGCACACCGGCTCTGTCTGGACACTCTGCGATGTCTGAGCTAATACGATGATGGTTTTTTCTTGATTAATGGAATTCCATTTAATTGACAGCAGTAAACATGACTGCAGTTGATAGACATGTACCGGATTCACAAGTTGCTCTACACGTATAGTCTGCATAGCGGGTCGACGACTTAAAACTGAGGTTTTGACTTCCAAGCTACATAATTTGAAGTTGATTCTTTTACAGCAGCGCCATGGTGCGTTCAAAATGATTAAAAGCACTGTTAATGTAGTCTCAGCGACTAGTAAAGTGGTTCGTCATTAGTTTTCAGATAGTGCTCACCATGACAAACTGCTAAGATTTTGATAATGCTTATTTTAACAAGATGAAACTTGGTGCAAAAGCAACAGTTGTGGCTGTTTTACTAACTACATTTAATAACTTATCTGAGCATCAGCTCTTAAATTAAAATATTGACATCCTAAATTAATAGATTCTACTAACTGCACTTTTGCAATACCGCAAAAGAATCATTAAAAAAGGGAAATTTTTCTCGCTTTCATTGTATCTGACACGTGAAATATCGTAAATGCATTTTGACACAGACGTTTTTTAAAAAAAAATTAATACATTTTTTTCGGCAAAATCACACCACCTTCAGTACAACGTTCTAACCGTATATATCTATCTATCGAAGGGAATTCGGCACCTACGCCTCTTTGCCCTATTTGTGTTACGACAGGAACTACGTGACATGAACTTACGCCTCAAGACGCGAAATCTTCCTTGATTTAATTCACTGGATAAGTACATGGCAACTATTGTTAAAATTTGTGCAGAAGCTTTTAGTTGACCATTGCAATTCTAATTGGAGCATTAAAAAAATTATCTATTATTATTTAAAGTCATCCCTCTGGTGTCAACTAAAGACACAAGAATCGTTTTGAGATTTAGTGTCCAACAGCTATTATTTTGGCATGCCTACCCGTGTGGTCTTGATCCACACTGGAGCCGCGTTGCTGCATTCGCTTGATTAAGCTTCTAGAGAGGACCAAATAGACCGATGTTGGAGGTGACACGAGTGTTTGCAAGATACCTTCACCTACTTCTGTTGTTGAATACGAGTAGTGTATTTGTAGGCCCGCATCGTTTGGGTACCTTGCTGACATTTAATTGACAAAATGACCGAACGAGAGAAGCGTTATTGGGAGGGAAGTGAGAAGAAAATTATATACAAAAGGAGGAGTGTTATGAGCAGACTGTGACGCATGGCTGACAATTGGTGTGTTAAAAGGGAGGCGGTTTGTTGGAAAAACTGGCGTACGTCGTGATTGCCCACAATAAGCCACACATCAATTTTTTTTGGCAAAATGACCTCTTTCCTTCTGCGACAACACTGCTTGTGTGATCATGTGGAAAATTGTCCTGTCAATGATTAACCACTTATCACGCAAACAAGATCAATGGCACCTCTGTTCACGACTGACCTTGACCGTATCTAGAACCAGGCACCTCATCATTTACGCAGTTCAGATTCACCATTTTAACCAATTTCCATTGGGTGATGACTGCATTAGGCCTTATCCATGTGATGTACATTTGCGTTGAATAGGATATAAATTGCTCCTAAGATCACGAGCACCCGACAATAACTGCACACACGTGCAGTGAACTAATAATCGGGAGGCGTGATTTCATCAGGCCGACCTCGCTCTGGTGAATCTTATGACCCACTTCAAGATTATTCTTTGCTTAGATGTCACTTGACTTGCAATGGTAAATGTCATGAGGGAATCACTTGTTTGCCTTTGTCAAACACGTCATCTAAGTGAGTACGTACACATTCATCAGAAGTAGTGAGTTTGACAGACAGGCAGTTGCCATCTACAATTGCAAGTTGAGCCGAGTCCCACTTGATGATTACAAAGCCTTATAAAGTCTTCTTCAGTGGCAAGTAGACGAACATCTGGGTATTGGACAAAACTTTAAAATCAAGTGGTAAACAATATGAAAACATTGGTTATTTAGCTTCAATGCTGAATCACCTAGTACGAAGAAGACCTGCTCTTTACTTTCGTAGGCTTTCTCGTGAGGCTGGATGAACTCTTCCCCGACTTAACGACAAACACAGTGGGCCAATTTAAGCTCTTATGTGTTTTAATATCCACAAAAAGGATATTTTGAACTAACTTAAGCAAAAAATAAGAGAGATAATAACTCCATGTGTAGACAAGTCATCATTCTAATTGGCCGGTGGAATGCTGGTCGTGAGATTTCGTGATCTGTTTGGCCCAGAGGACCAGTTGAGTTAATCGATTTGCTGTAGAATACCCGAGCTCTAGTATGGAGAAGACTGGTACAACAGAGCAGGCTTTATTGACCAATAACAAGCCAGAACCACACGTCAGACGCCTTCCATTCGAGCCAACACGCCAGCCACTCCACTCATATACTGCACCTCATTCGAGTCCTTCTCTGGTTGGCTGCTTATCTTCCTCGCATACCACTGGCACGCAGAGGGACACAGGCTAGATGATCCAATATGTCTGCGCCCTGATCCGTTGCTACTGTACGTTTCCGACCCATGGTATGGTCAAGAAGAGAGAGAGTAAGACAAAAGGGAGTACTTTAATGAAGGCTGAAACAAGCCACAATCTAGTCACAAACAGGTCGGGCCAAAGAGGGAAAACAGGGTCTTTATATATCCTTGTCCTCGTCGGCCTGTTCTCTCGTTGGTCCGCTCCGGGGCGCTGCAATGGAGCCGGAAAACCTGCGAGCGGATTGCCTCGCTGTACCCAGCGTGTCATTCAATGCCCACGTGACACTACACGGCCGGAAGTCGCACCCCGGTCACATGACGTCGCTAACATGGCGTGCTTCTCATCTTCGACCAATGGATTAACACCAATATGGCTGCTATATGTCACGCCGCTACACTACATTGTCATGGATAAAAATGGCGCTGCATGCCAGGTGTGGGTGTTGAGATCGGCAAAGGCGCCAGCTCCTAGATATGAAGCTGCCTAATCTTCCCCCCACACACACACACCTTCCATCTGTCTAAGCCGACTGTTTTTGTGTGTGGGTTAGCGGCGAAGGTAACTTTCTGCCAATCTAAGCTTGGGAACAGGACAACTCATCAAGTCAAATCCAGGCTTTCACTAGCATAAATGAAGATAATAAGCAGTTTAATTTCTGAAAGAAGGAAACTCACGCAATGCTGTTGATTGATTCAAAACAGAGATAGGAAGATAAAATGTGCTCTATGTAGTGAGCAAACTGTTCTAGTAAACTTGAGCGAATTGTCATTAAATTTGACTTCTGTTTAACCAATGATGTGTTGCTATTCGCTCATTCAGTTGACCTCCATTCGCGGGTCACGTTCGTGCCTAGTAAACGATGTGTTGTCACTCATAGAAATAGCACGACAGGTGTTCAGTCCATAACTGGATTGTTTAACACCTTTATATTTGTCTAGTCGATGACACTTGGGCGCTGGCTACATCTGATCTCAGGAATATGCAAGTATCCAAACGTCATCGGTTAAGACTCATACGCCAAAACTCAGTTGCGTTCCCATGAATTATCGCTATCCAAGTCAATGACAGTGTTTCAGATTATCCCCGGATATCAGCAAGTCTAAGTTCAACACACATTCAGGCACAAGATTTGAACACACGAATGCTCCAGTTATTTTCACGCTGGTATATCAGGTGGCGAAGCGTGGATTTAAACAAGTGTTCAGCTTTTGGGTGATTTCTAGATCAGACAGGCATTGATCATCTCTTTCCCAATCTCGATCCATATCTAAACAGACAAAATATATCGCGGGCCTAAACATTCCAGCGTTTAATTCACAACTTGTGGCCGGATTTTGCTTTGCTTTTTCGTAGCCACATGAAGTTTCGGTGGCTGAAAATAGAGACGCAAAAACGGCGCCACGCACAAAAAACACGCAAATACACTCGATAAATAAATTTGATTGAGCTCTAAAGCGTGTGGTAACGACAGTACACAACTGCTGTAGACAATCGATAATGTCAATGAGAGGGTTGACACTATCTATGGTACACTGCATAAAAGACACTGTCCGTTGGCAGGCCACACACATTCCTAACCTCAGAACACCGACAAACACTGACTAGTCCTCTTGAAACTAGACAAATCTTGCAATCAAGCACACACACACACACATAAGCCACACTCAAAAACACATCGTATTACACTAAACACACACACACACTAGGCAAGTGAACTATACACTTCCCTATGACAGCTGACTCTGTAAAGTACAAAGTAGCTCAGTACTTTAAATCAGACATCAATGTTTATTCCATTTTTCGTGTTAAATGACGATGGATAGAACTTGATATGTGGAAAGATGCATGTATTGATGTGACCTGGCAGTTGGTGAAAGAGCCGGGAAATAGGAGGGTGAAGGTTAGTGTGTTGGCAGGCGCAGATTGGGGTGCAGAGATGGCAACAGCGTGTGCGGTTCGAGGTGGCGAGGGGTTTGAACAGAGAAATAATTCAAAACGTTGGCGAATGTCGTCCAGGGTAAGGAAGTGATGACACGGGCACACAGCCATGCACGGATGTAAGGTGTTGGTGGGCGGTTGCGAATGTGATTCAACGGTTTCAAGTGACAACAGGGTCGGGGTAGAAGGTAGTGCGAGTAGGTAGGTGGGAGGGGTAGGATTGTGTGACAGCAGGCCAAACACTTTCTCCTCCATGTCACATCAGGCGCGCGCGGCCACACACACACCAGCACTGATCATATTACGGCGTCGCATAGTCAGTCCGATGGTCGTTCACCTGCAGTCGTTTCAGCCTCTTCCGAATGTGTCTCACAGCGCGACGTGTCTGCAACTGTGCGCGACTTGTCCTGCGCCGAAGCTCATCCAATCTGGGGCCGTTGTCATTCGCAAAGTTGTCACTAAGCACCTAAAGTTAACAAACAACAGCTTTACTTATTATCTCCACGCAGACAGACATTGTAACGGTAGCGAAGCAACAAAGAAAACAAAACAAAGGCAGATCTACTAAATGATAAAAAGGTGGTTTCACACACCTCGTCAACATCCATTGCTTCATAGTTGCCGGAGAACCGATTCGAAGGGCCTCGCAGCAAAGATCTGTCCCTGGTATTGCGATCGTAAGCAAAGGGAGGAGAGTGAGGAGGCAAAGCGCCATGGTGGGGCCCAATGCGAGGAAATAACTGATAGTAGCTACTGCTATGGCGAGGCGGATGAGGTGGGGGGAGGTGGTTTCGACTTGAGGCGGTCCTTGTGCTGCCTCGGCCCACCACACCCGCACCACCACCATAGCTGGCGCAGACCTCCTGCGACTGCCGCTGCTGCTGCAACCAACCGTCGTAGTTCACTTCACCTACTAATTGACATTTTAATTGCTCACCTTCATGGAAAAATCACACATCGGCAAAAACGTGGATGTGATTAGGCAATCCCACGATGCCGCTTCATCTTGACATCATTTGGCGGTCACTCAAATTCACTTACAAAATAGACGACACTCTCAACTCACACAACCACGACACCCAAACACTAACACAACAACCCCTACAATGTACATGCAATTAGCAGTGCCAAAAAACAGCAAAAGTGCACAATTTCGTGATCACGTGATGCTGTGACAAACCGGTATTAGCTAGAGATTTGCGAGGAAGCGACGCGTGTTGTGTGGAACAGTGAAGATTTTCAAGGTCACAGCTGTACCATCTGATCGATGTTGACGCGGATAATTTCATTCAACCGGCCGTCAGGAAAAGCAAATAACACGAACACACATTTACACTCAAAACCAACGGGCATGCACTCACACACCACTGACACTCGTTCACACACAACGCCGGGGTGCACACAGTCACACGACCACACAAACATAGAATGCACACATAAGGCAATAATACACAAATAGCTGGGGATTTCGCCTACCTTGGGAGTTTTTATTATCACCAATGGTGTTTGGGATATTGGTGTGGTGGAAGAGGGAGAGTTCTTTGGGGAAGGACTTGGGGTCGGAGATGATCTCCATTTGCGTTAGGGACTTCTGTACATAAGTTGGGGCGTCCGATGGAATGCTATTAATCCACCGCTCCACATATTGCAACTTCTCCTGGCCCGACACAATTAACAACCACAGTTAGGTTTAGAAGCACACGCACATACACCACAGCACCTCAGTATCACAATATTGCATCCGCATATATGCTGTCATCGTTATCTTGACTGTGTTCCAAGCAACCGCACTAGACTCTGCAGGCATATTTTATGCAAATACACCTGATTTTTCCTTATTTTTGGAGTAACCTTGGTGAAAGAGCTACTGGAAAATATTTTATTGGTCTGTTGTACCTAGAGATTCAGCACTACCTTACAGTTTCTACTTAACAGCTAGCATCAACCCGAGAATTAAGTACAAGGAGGCGACAGACGACTCAACCGTTTATCAGCGTCAGGCCAGCCAGGTGCATCTTAGCGTGTGGATGAATGAACGGATGACAGGCATCTGATAACAGTAACCAATAAAAAGGGGATGAGTCATTGCCACCGTCAGGTCAGTAAACAGGGTTCACTCAGTCGCGATAGCTGTTAATCCGCAACAGGTCGATGACAAATAGGCCACACGGGAAACTTCAAATCTGACATGAGAAAGTGAACACAGTTGAGAAAATGGAAATGTGTATGCCAGGTGGGTCGACAGTGCCCAAACGGACAAACCACGAACACACCCACTTACGCCAATTGAGAAGCTGTAACAAAGGACACTCGTTAGTGCTTCTACCACCACCTGCGTTACTCAAAATACCAATTCCTGGTGTAACACATTCAACAAGTACCCCACATCTCAGTAAACTTTGACACCCACTAAATCAAACGATGTTGCCCATCAAACAAGCAACCTACAATGAAAGGTGATCGAAGCACTCGTGTCGAATGGCAGACAAATGCAACTGTCATGAAATGAAAGGAGCTTAACAGAATTAGCTTACGAATTTACTCAGATCACGAGGAAGCACTGGCTCAGACATTGTGTGCAAAAGCAGGGTCGGACGTAGCAGAGGTGGCTCCGGAAGAGCTGCTGTGAGTGTCGTGAAACGAGACATCCAGCACGCTTCGATTTATGCTGCGTTGCGTCCAATCACGTTCGCTTAAGCCGACTCACACCAGTTTATCCGATTGCTTTATACGATGACACATTGTGACCCCAAGTTTCGCAGCATGGCGTCATCAAGCGGAAGGGGGGAACTCCAACTGACAGATAATTATCGCGAGCGATTATCCGGTATTACCACAGCGCTTGCGACAAATTTCACCTTTGTATTGGTGTTAGCCCTTTCGTGACTTGTGCTGTTTCACACATCTGAACTTTAATAAGCAGACGTGCGTAAATGACTCCAGACAACACTCCCACACACACACTTGCGGTTACGTCTTCTTCGGTCTTCACCTTCTTATCGGATGAGAATTAAGTCAGTGATCCTGGCGTGGTTTGAGACGACATGCCGGATACCGCAACACAAATTATCGAGTTCGTCTTCTTCAAAATCTATCGTCTGCTGGTAGCCAATACTGCTCTGGTCGAAACACAAGTTCAACTTGACAATAACTGGTGTCTCGTAGTCACCAAAGAAGCGATTAGAGTTGCGTCGCATTGGAGATCTGCGCCTGGTACTCTGTATGTGCTTAGACGACGAGAAGGGCGTAAAAGAAACGCAGCACCATGCGATGTCCCACACACCGCGCACTTCGGACATCATCGTGGTTTAAAACAACATGTTATGGAAATGGCACATAGCTTCAGAGCTTCTACGTCGAATGCCCGGAGAAAAATGACGCAATCATGACATTGAAGGAAGCGTGGTAGAAGCCGCCGACAAAATGCCGAAGACACCTTTGGACCACTGGCCGTGTCACCATGGACAAATGCTGACCACCTTGTGGTAGAAGTGGATGCGGTGTAGCAGCCGGAGTTGATGGCGGGATCGTTGTTTGCAACGGCAGCGATTGACCTGCGTTTCTGGCTAGATAAGTCTGGTTTTATAAATTTGACGATAGCCTATATTTCGGTTATGGGGTTAAGTGTTGATAGATGAAACTGACAAGTGAAAAATAGTTGTTTGTACTTCTCTTGATGTGGAGGAGGAATATCGGAAAACAACGACTGCCTCAAGTGGAAACAACTCTCCACCACAGCCTCCTTCTAGCAGCGACAATCACCAAGTGGATGGCAGCGTAGTGTGAGGGACGTGAGTTTGCTATTTCTGCTGATCATAAAGCATTTGAGATACTCAGGCTTAGTGAGCATCTTCACGTTTACGGCATCTCAACTGACTCCCAAAATTTACATTTGGAGTAAACAACGTCGAGTTGCTAAGCCACCAAACTGATGCAAGAGCATTTGACCCCTAAATGAGAAAAACAGCAAATCCGAGAGTGTGCAGTGGCAGAAGTACCCTGTAGCTTACGTCGTTTCGTTCGTTTGGTCTACTATTTTGTGCGTTTAATTAAACAAGCAGCTGAAATTTCGTCGCTGCTGATTGACTTGTTTCAAAGAAATCACAAGAAGCTGGGGCTCACTCAAGAGGCTGAAGCTGCATTTCAAGCTATGAAGGATGATATGACAGACGTCACAAGTTTGTGCTACTGAAAGAAGGAAACGAAAGTTGCCTTATGAACAGAAGATTCCCAAACTGCAGTACAACAACAAGAGCTGGCTGCTTGAATTGAGCCAATACCAACCTTACCACGGAAGCTCCGACCAAAAGAAACCTTTATGAATACCTTTTCCGGAGAATTATTGTCTCTCTGTGAAACACTTGTGTTTCCTACTGGATGAGGACAAGTGTTCACCATTTCTAGTGATCATAAGCCATTAGAGACACTCAGGCTGTGCGCAACAGATCATATTGCAGTCATCTGACTGGTAACTCCTATGAAATATATCACAAAAACTACGCGGATGTTTTTTTGCAGGCTGCAAACACGTTGTCACCTTCCCAGCTCAGACACACACACACACAAGGCCCACTGCATCGAGGATATTCTTGCTAAGCCATTAATCAAATAACACGTGGATGTGCGTCTGATTGTGAACAAGTAAGAAGCTTTGGAGATAATGAAAATGCACGGACGATAGGCCAATAGGTATTTTTGATTATGCTACCAACACTCTCGATATATCGAAAAACGCGCATCAACACTTGCCCAAAAACACACAATTCACACAAACTAAAAAATGGCTACGTTGAGTTGCACCCCCAAATTCAGTTTGATTTGTGAAAGCAGGACGGTCACACAGGCAAAAGCATCCAGCACACATGTACACACACCCCCATGAAAACATTCTTTCTCGAGGCAATCGATTGGGCAAAATTCGAGCCAGGTTAGTGTTGTAAATTAGATGACAGCTTATATTATGTTTATGGCGTCAAATTTTGTGGAAAAAATGACAATTGAATTTGTGTTGGTGAGGGGAAGAGGGGAAGTTGGAGTTGGGGTAAGCTTGGGTCGCAGACGTGGGAGTAGAAGAGGTGAGTGGGCAGGGTAAGATTGAAATGGGTGATGAAATCACTTTCTTCTCTGTGTCATATCTGGTGCTTGGGGTTCGCAAACTCCAGCACTACTCATTTCATGGGTTAAGATATTCGATCCAACGACCACTTGCTAGCAGTTGCTTCGCTTTTCTCCGAATGCCTTTCACTGTACGACTGGCCAGCAGCACCGAGTTGGTCGTCCTTCGACGTACCTCACGAATGCCAGGGCATTCACCTCTCGCGAAGTAGTCCGTAAACAGCTACCACAAAAAAAAGTGTTATAAATACTTTGTAAATTTACGCCGACAAACATTTCCTGTGAAAGGCAGTATTCAGCTGAACTAACCTACCGAAATGTGAAAATTATAACAAGATTCAGGCAAATCTACTGGCACATTCACCACATGTCTTACTCACATCGACAACTAACTGTGTCTCGTTGTCGTCGAAGGTCCGATTCGGAGATCCTCCCATCGAAGATCTCTCCCTGATTCTGTGACTATGCGCAGACGAAGAGGAGGAAGGGAGTGG